AATTTTATGGATGACGTCCTTTGGAGACCCTAAATCTAATGCGAGAGGGCGAAAAAAAAACAAGAAGGGCCCTAAAAAACAAGATGCCTAGATAAGAAATATACTAAGAGACGACAAATGTTAGGACACAAATTGAATGAGGTGACACAGTGTAACAAGCAAGAAGTCTTTTATTCATCATCAAAACAGCAATAAATCAGGTGGAACAGCAGTTGTCGTCCAGTGAGTTTGGGGAGATAGATGGAGCGGTCAGCAAGTTTCTTCAAATGTGGCAGCATGTACCAAACTGAATTCCTGAAGTCATGATTTCGTTGCTTGATGCTTTGGTCCGTACAAACCTATTTGCGGCACTGTCGTGACTCTTTGGTCATAGTTACAGGAAGCGGAATTTCTTGGGTTTTTTCTAGGAACAGGCCAAAATCAATGCGCGCGCGGACGTCATCCATAAAATTTACTTGGTGTGGCCTAACCACCGAATAAAGCCACCAAGTGAGCGCAGCGGCTCAGGACACCGTCCAGAGCCAATTCACGTTGTCCGAAAACCGTCCATAAAAGCGCCCGGATCTGTCCCAGAGCCCACCCAGCCCCGTCCCGGAGGCCATCCGTACTGTCCCAGAGCCCACTCAGCCCCGTCCCGGAGGCCATCCGTACCGTCCCAGAGCCCACCCAGCCCCGTCCCAGAGACCATCCGTACCCATCCCTGCCCCCATCCCAGAGCCCATCCCGGACCCTGTCCCCCAGGTCGGGGTGGACGGGGTCAGGTGCATTCGGACCATCCCCGACCGTCCAGGCCAGTTTTTTAAGCGCCCGCTGGCCACAAAGGCCACCCCAGACGGGTATCCGTCCTCAAAAGGATGCCATCCCGGATGGGCATCGCACTGGCCACCCAATCTCTTCACAGCATCGCAATGTCTCAACATAGCAGTGTCTTGAATAGTGGCTATTTGGACTTTCTATCAAAACCAGGCCTTGACCCCATGCAGACCCTTTTTACAAGACT